GGGACGTCGCTGGCTAAGCGAGCAGTCCAAGGAACACCAAAGAGCGAGTTAACGCGCAGCCAGTACGAGCCCAGCGCTGCTGCTGTCGCTTCTGGATCCGTTTCGCTACCCCCTTGTTGTTGTTGCTGGTCGACATCGTTTTGTTCGGACGGTATCGACTTGGCTTGCACGAGAATGTCGTATCGCTGGGCTGCATTGATCGTCACAGAGTTGACGGGCGTCGAGGGCTCGAGGTAGTCGGCATCACTTGCAACGACTTGGAACGTGTGTCCGTCAAGACTGACTTTGAACGCTGCCAAAGCCGATGCGTTGATTAGCCGAAGGAGGTACTTTTTCCCTGGTGTGAACTGGAATCGAGGCAATGGGCGTCCCGGGACACACTCTAAACCAGCAGCTTGCGCTACGGCACAGTCATAGCGACCGATATTGTTGATCAGAACCGTGTCCCAAATGGGGGCCCCCGCAGGCAAGTCGTGGTACCAGTCGCCAAGAAGGACCGTATACTCTGCTTCGACGTCGCTCTCCCAGCTCTGCTTCTTGTCTTCGGGGCAATGGACAATGAGCGAGCCACGGAGACCGTACGCGTATTGCACTTCTTCGTGGCCGTGGTACCAAAAGGTGCCGCATTTGTCCGGCGTGAACCGGTAAATGGCCGTCACGTTGGGCTGGATCTGACATTGCGTGATGCCAGAAGTCCCGTCCATTTCTTGGGTCCCGAGCTGCTTGAGTCCATGCCAGTGCATACACGTTGGCTCAGTGAGTTGATTTGTGACGTGGACCTCCACTTCGTCGCCAAGGACGACGTCGATCGGGTGCTTGTCGCATGGCTCGTTGTTGATCCCGTAGCCGAAAGCACCCTTGACACCATCAAAGATAGTGGGATCGAGTGTCGTGAAGTTCCAGTCGTAGCGCACCACGGCAGCCATTGCTTCATGTGCCCTGCCGAGCAGCAGGATACTTAGAGTGGAAGTGGTCGAAACGAGACGCATGGCGTTTCTTGTAGTTTTTTCTTTCGGGGTCGTGAATGACTGTGAAGAAGGTCGTGCGACTTGTGTGTGTGTGTGTGTGTTGGAGGAAGTGGATTCCGAAATGAGCTACGACGTTCGTGGAGTTACGCTGCGTGCAATGCAATACGAGAGACTAGTCCTGTTGGTGACAGTGAGGCTTCTGCATCAATGAAAGTGTGTTCTTTACTTGCTGCTCGTGAGAGAAGCGGTCGGAGAACTCGACCTCGACTTCCATTTGAGCTCGAGAGCACGGAATGTCTGGGCCTGCGGAGCTGCTGGACGCCACCTCGTACCCATCTGCAGTCGCTATTATCAACGCAAGAGACTAGAAGACGTTGCAGCAGAGACGCATGTGGTGACAGAGAAAGCTGCATACAGAAGACTCGGTGTTTATTCTTTCTCACACGACCTGTTTCAGGCTGCGTAAGGCTCACGTGAGAGACTTCGGGCTAACATCTTCGTACGCATTCTTTGAATGAAGCGATGGCGCGTAGTACAGCGCCCTTCAGAAAAGAACGTGAGTCTAATCCGCGCAAGTATCAGATTGTGCTCTGTCGGGTCATTCGATTGACATCCCATTTTCGCTCTTATTCCGGACGCAGGCCAACTTACATGGCTCTGGCACGCAAAAATGTCCCAGGAACGTCTAAGATGCTATGGCATAGGTTGCAGCAGTACCTACGACGCTAGACAAGTAACGTAGCAACCGCCCGACGACGTCCTAAACAAATGCCCTGCTCATGAGGCTCTTGCCGAAGTGACTATGTGCGGAGTTCTAAGACCGCCGCACGTCGCCGTCTCTAGTATTGCATGTTGCTGGCTGCTGGTAGGTGGTACCTGCCGTTGCCAGTCCGCACACGGTCGTAGCTCCTCACGTATAACGTTGCCACTGAATGGACGGGCCGTGCATGTTTCCTGCTGCGTACATCGACGTCTGTGCTACGCCGACTGACATTTGAACGATGGCTTTGACCTTCGCCTTCGCCGAAGAGAGACACCGATCAAGAGAGTAGGAAACAATCGGTGTGTTCGCTGTTGTCTCTCGCGCACGTCGCATGCATCACGTCGCACGCTTGGTCAGACAATCCGTACGTTGTGACGGCAATTGCTGCAGTCGGCCAAATTTCTTTTGAGCTTTCATCGTCCATGCTTCTTCCTATGATGGGCGCAAGGCCTTCTGCCATACGGGTCACGCAGACATGACTGCAATGCCTCGCTCAAGGGGCAGCTGATGGTTCCCTCACGGCGTCAGTCTTTCACAGGATCTGCGAGACTTGAATGAAGTATGGCTGCTTGTACCTCTACTGCCTAGGGATGGCGCGGGCGCGAGTTGCTCTGGACCGTGCATACGGCCTGTCTGCCGCTGCTCTAGTTCGGGTCACCTGCAGACCACGAGTAGAAAAGCGTCTGATCGACATGATGCTACGGGAGCCTACGAAGCTGTCAATGTCTCGATCAACAAAGCGGGGGATAACGTATCGATCCTTAGCAGTCGCCCCACAGTCCAAGACGACTGAGTGAGCACACGCCGTCGTGGTTGGTATGTTGTACGTCGGGCATGGACAGAGAAGATGTTTTAGTTCATGCTACTTGTCGTAATGATGCATTATGCTTGACCGCAGACGTGTCTGTACGCCTTTCGCCATTGCTCGGCCTCCCTATCATCTCATTGGGCTCTTTGACAAAAGCGACGTCGACAGCTGCATTCAGCACTTGTTTGTCGAAGCCTCGATTTCGCTGGGGCAAGGACGTAGTTCGGGACTTGGCTATGGTACATGCATGAAGCAAACGCTCGTGCTTCACACGTAAGCGCCGAATCGAAGGATCAACGATATATCCGCAGGCCAAATGTAGTGGGACAGCGCTGTGGGTGGTAGTTGCACGCGTCGGGAAGCTGCCTGCCGACCCATGCATTGCGACTTGAGGTCGTGTCTACGTCATTGAAGCTTCACGTGATGTGTCTTGACCATTCAGCTGCCGCTGGATCTCGCGTTTACAACCGCCAGAGGAACATGGTAGAAGGTGCAAATTCAACCGACAGAAGTGCAGTGCGTAGGACGCCAACGCATCCATCGAGCGATCGCGGACTCCCACTCGCCCGACAAAGAAGGCTCTTACTGGTTTTCTTCGGGAACACCTCGGGTAACCAAGGCCCTCGTTGGCTGGGTAGACAGCTCCCACGCATGAAGCCTTTACACATCTGATCCGGAGGTCATCATTGATAGACTCGACAGCCTCAAAAGATCATAAACACGATTAACGCGTCAACTTTCTCTCCAAAAGCTTTGTTGGTCACTTTTTAATCTGCCAGTGCAAACCAACTGCTCCCTATTTCATCATGAGTGAGACTTCTCAAGTCAGCGATCTTAAAAAGGTGTGGCTCGTGACTGGATGCTCCTCAGGTTTCGGCAAGGAAATCGTAGTGAAGGCGCTTGCTCGAGGAGATCACGTGATTGCCACTGCTCGCGACGTGAGCAAACTTCGGGATCTTGAAGACCGAGGCGCTCGCACGCTGGCGCTCGATGTGACAGCAGATGATGCGGAGCTTGAAAAGATGGTTGCAAAAGCGCTCACTTTCTACGGCACTATCGACATCCTCGTGAACAATGCGGCTTTCTTGCTTGGTGGAGCAATTGAAGAGTGCTCAAGCGAAGAGGCGTACCAGCAGTTCGACACTAACGTATTCGGAGCGCTGCGTATGCTGCGGGCTGTACTGCCCCACATGCGTGCTAAACGGTCTGGTGTGGTCGCGAACATTGGGTCCGCGAGTGGCTGGACTGGGATACAGATGATGGGCGTGTATGGCGCCACCAAGTTCGCTCTGGCAGGGCTTACACTGGCCTTGCGCGCCGAATTGGAGCCTTTTGGGATCGAAGTGACGATCATTGAACCAGGCTCGTTCCGCACATCAATTCTGGGCAAGGGCTTCTTGCCCATGAAGAACTCGATTCCAGACTACTTGCCTATCACACAACCTCTGCACGACCGCATCACCCGGCTCAACGACACGACGTCCGGAGAAAAGCAGCCTGGCGATCCAGCTAAGGGCGCGGTAGTGATCGTCGAAGTGCTCACCAAGACCGGCCGTTGCGCCGGCAAGGCAATTCCCAGTCGCATGCTCTTAGGCAAAGATGCGGTGAAAATCGGGGATGCCGTGCTGCAGGAGACCCTTCGCGAATTTGATAGTTGGGCTCCGCTAGCAGTATCGACGGACTACGACGATGCTGTCCAAAATTCACTGTGAGTCGGGTCCTGTGATGCGAGAAATAGTGCAGTGGGTACATTCGAAGAAACGTGAGGGACGAGTGCATAACGTGACAAGTACTTGTAAATCCAAACACTGTTTGTTGTGCACGTCCCGACGTGAGTTTTTTCCCGTCATGTATCAGCCCCGGCATTGTTGCTTGTCGATTGTAGAGAGCCTCTGAATGCAGGTACATGGATTGGGCGGCATTCCTTGGTCTAGTGCAACTCTCACAGGGCATCCAGATTTGTCGTGATACACTCGTGCTATGCGTCTTCAAAAGGTTAACAGCCTATGTCGCGGTATAGTGATCCTTTCTCAGTTACTGCATCGAGTCCACAAACCACTTATGTGCGCCCGTCCTGTGATACGAACCAGACCATATCGCAGTGTAGCGTGACGTCAAGTCGGACTCCACCGCCGTCCAAATCACTTTACGCAGACATAAGCGCAAAAAAACGTACGACCAAGTGATTATGACCGATCAAGAACACACTGTATCGCATCGCCACTACCAGTCACTGATCGAGAGAGGAATCTCACCCGCACAAACCTCATATCGATTTAGCTCATACAGTGAAGACGCAGGACGCGCGATCGTAGCAATGGCTCAGCCATCCACATAGTCAATAACGTTTTGGCCGTTCACCTATACGGTCAAAGTAGTGGTACTCTCTCGATTAGACAGCATCGTGATTCCTTCACCACTCTTAGCATTACAGTTTCGAAAGCGGTTTGACCACACCCGCGTGCTTCCACTTTCATATGGCTACTACACAAGCGCTTGTAGTTCATCAACCGATCGAAAATACTTCACCCAACATACGAACGAGTGGAGTGACACAGCCGCGAGAGTTACAACACGCTTCATAGAAGAAAGGTAAACGATGGCCACGCTTGACAATTAGTAGAAACAACGAGTCGACACCATCATGTGCATACTATCGACCGACGCCATACAAGTCGTCACCGTTGGATTATCGATCAGTGATCTAGTTCGACCTTTGCTTTGCGCCCAGGAGAATCATTTGCGTTGCTTATCCGCCATTGTTGCGCTGCTTTTGGGGTCCCAGAATGATGAGTTACGCAATTCAACATCCATACGCTACGACCGTTCAATTGACCGTCGAAACCCCTTCAATGCAAGATTAAAGGTAGTCTCATTCGAGGCAATCTTGCAAGTGATTTGAAACTCTACCGTAGTTTCAGATGCAGCAAATATCATCAACCCGGATGTTATGGTAAGCATTGCTCCTTCTGTTCACCAAGCCCGAAGCTCCTGGTCGCAATACAATGCCATACCTTGTCGCTATATCAAAGTGCTCCTTTCGCTTCAAAGACGATCATAATATACAATCGCTACAACTAGTGAGCCGTGCTGCCACATTTTTGTCGCATGTATGAGATTCACGTCATGAAATTGTCCTCGTCAGGTCAGTTAGTGCCGTATCTTGTGCAGGCCGATTTTGAGTTCAGCCGACGCAATTTTTCACCTTAAGTAGCTCTTACAGCTTTCGGAGGATCGGTACCTATAGTCGCCTTTTTTGGCCCGTAGGTTGAACACCGAAGAACGATATCGTGGTAAATTACAGTGTAATCTACTGTGTTAAATACTTGGTAACATATCGTCATCCAGAACAACTATGCACTGCACGATTGTGCAATTCGATTTGCATGCTCGTTCGCCAACGCATACCTACCCGACCGTCTTTCATGGTGCTGGCCTAATGATTCAATCAACGCACGGAGTGGCACTCGTTGAGCGCCGTACCATTTCTAGACGTGTTGCCATTTAACATAGTATTCCTGTGGGCAGAAAAGACGAGATCACAAGGCCCGCTTCAACGCTTTCGGTATTTACGTGTGCATAGGAAAGACAAAGATGACATGCGGACTAAATTTGGCAGTTCCACAATCTGGAAGACATCAGTTCGAGTGAATACACGTCTCGCTGAGCGACAGGGCATTATTTCGGGATCGGGATTGCACGCGCGGTGGTCGGGCATAGTGCAAAGAAACGTCCGAACTTTATTGGCCAACTACTTGATGCGGGCTTCCACCCGTCACAAATATCGGCACAGTCGACGTATATGATGCGATCATAAGTAAATTTTTCTGCCATTAATACGGCAGCGCAATCAAAAAGCTTTCTGAATCATTATAGTTCTTGTCTTCTTCACTAGCGGTCGCCATTATTACGAGTCCCTGAAGACAGGCAAAATGGAATAGCTGCTCCACATGTTCACCAAAGCTGTCAATTGGGCGTCAATACCTGGCCGTGTACCAGGAATGTTCATCTTTCGTTCGGCAGCTGCGCAGACCTTTTCAACTGCTCATACAGCCTCAATTATGGCGCCGTTGTGGAAGAGCAATTTGGAATAATCACTGAGCGACAGTATGATTCAACTAGATACAATTTTGTCATTCATTTCACACTGCATGATTCCACGAGCGTGCTAGGGAAACAAGTATCGCCATGATGGCGTGTATAAGTGTCCCATTCTTCCCCGAGTAAGTGACGATGAAGCTGCGCAGAGATAGAGCATAACTTTTACAAAAAAGCCTTGTCCAGCTTCAAGCTGGGTGTACTCGATTGGGTGTGCAATCTGGCTTGTGCTTTTGATCGATCGGTTATGTGAGAAATGGGTCATGTGGAAACGCCGAATTTATCGATGTCGGAAGGAGAATTCATCTGTACGAAATGTAGAGTTCCACGCTTACCCCCATGTCGTTCCATTGCAGCAAAAGGCCGAGCGTGATGGTAAATCTTTGTATATATTGCTAGAATACGAAGGCGCTCTCATTCGGTCACGGTTGTACGCTACATGAAATCCGTAACCTCTGCACGGCGTCGATCAGCAATTCCCTATACTGAACGAAGCCTGGTAGACAGTTGCATACATGACAAACGCCTTAAAATTATCGAATCTTCTTCAAGAAGCCCTCGAAAGCCAATATTGGCGTATGTACGCGAATATTGGCTTTCGAGTACTTCGCACATGACACACGTGCGCACTCTCATCAATAAGAACCGATAAAACCAGATACTCTTCACCACGTATCGACCTAGCATATTCAAGAAGGCATGAGCAGCATTGTCCAGCGAAGCCATTAATGTCCGTCTCAACGATGAGATAAGCAACCAGCTGTAAGCGCTGGGCATGGATACTTGCATTGAATGGGTGTCGGTAACAAAGCAAGGGGGATTTTTTAGGGTTTCGAAGTACCGTTTCAGCAGTGGGTGCATATCACAACTGTAAAGATAGCAATGGGTACGAAGGCGTCAGTAGCTGGTAGGTTTCGGGAACCAAAATCGACATAAACCATCTTGGCCTATTGTACGTGGCTGTAAAGCTTTGTGTGGCTGTATGAAAGCGTGCTTATTTACCACCGATTTACACGAACAAGAATTATGTCACGTTTTGAGCAAAATAGTGTAAGCTGCATACGTCATTATCTCTCGTGTACTAGTACTTCTGTAAGAACTATTCATAAATTGAAAAAGAATGGCGACATGTGCACGAATGCCCTTGGCACTGGTTCGTACAACGAGTCTCTATTCGAGTCACTATACAACGACAATTCTCGTGCGGCTAATCGACTGTCTGACGCTGTGTGTTCATCCTATACTACGGCTACGACAGCTCCTTTGCAGTTTGCCTGAATCAGGAAATACTCGAGGTTCATCACTTCCTTTTCGACGTACTTGAGGGAGGACGACGACGCAAATATTCTGGCCGCGTATCGCTTGTTCAGACAATCAGACACCACAAGAAGACGTCCGGTCGCTCCTTTATTGGCGCTTTCCTTTGAAGTGCCTACGACATCGAGCCGATACTCACGCAGATGTCATAGTGGCTCGAGACCATTTACCCGGACGGCCATGATCTTGCATTAGTTTCTGAGTCGGACGTTCAGCTTCTTGCGCACTACAGTTGATGTATCGGTGGTACATTTGGGTAGTGCAACTACGGTATGGGTACGTGTACTCCATGGTGTACCGCTCATCTTAATCAGGTAGTACTGGGTACGGTTTAGAGGCGTTCCAGCCACGTAAGGATTACATTTTGTTGGGTGGTACGAAGGTAGAGAGCTAGACCGTACACTTAAGTTTTTAGACTAGTTGTGCCCCTGCCCAAAATTTGAATAAAGTCAATTCGCATCATGCTATACATAAACTCGTGTCTTGTTAAGTCGTCTTTGATCATAAGGCTTGAGGCCTACTACAGGCATATTTTCTTGAGCGCCTTGTGCCACGTGTATCGCTGAATCGTTGAGCCTTTTGTACCATATCTAGAAGCTGGGTGATCTCGTAGACCCGTTGAGGTGTTGCTGTAAGCGCTAGTTGGCTAGTCGGGTAGTAGTTCGTTGGACTTGATTACTCGTTGAGTCGTTGTTCGTTCTACGAACTAATTGACTCTTTGAGCTGAAGCACTTCTTTGACAAGGAATGCGGTTGCTTCGCTACAATTGCGATTAAGCCCGGCGAACAGCATCCTGAATCGGATTGTGCTTTCACTGGGCGACGACATCCTGGCATCCTGTCGCCCTCTCGAAAGCAGAGAAAGATGGCGTCGATTAATGACCAATTACTATCACTTTATATATGCGCCAGCAAGCAACATATGAAGGAGACCTCACGAAATACAGTGTGAACTACCAAGTTTGTTGTATTATGTGCCGCCTTTTCCAAGGATGCGCCGAGGGCCTGCTATTTGCATACCAAAATGGCACGGTCGAGGCAAATAGGGACAAGGACCATCATATAGTGCCCGATCCTATTTGCTAGTGCTCGCTCGCGCTAAGCCAAAGTCGAGCTGGAAAAGCCATTCCGTTAGCACCCATCAGAATTGTTGCCGAATCGCCACAACACAGCGATAAGAGGTTCTCCAAGTAGCTGCACAGCCCTACGAGTGAGGGGTAGACGAAGAAGGGATAATGGTAGCGAAAAGGATAGCGGTGCTTGTTGGGTTGTATTTGTCGACCGATTTGGATATATTTGGCAGCACTGACGGTATTGTTGACAAGGAAGTGTACGAAGAGAAAAATGGTAGACGGGGCAGCATCTTTGATCAATGATGTACGATGATGTCTACATATAATTTTCTCTTCCGAGCGCAGACCTTTACGGTTCCGGGCTGCGTGCTAACCACGATTGTTTTTGTGCTCGGTATCGCGTAGCATGCAGTTTTCTATACCTATTCCTCATCGAGCGTGGGAGCCATCCTGGTCCATATTTTCATCAATGTGTTTCTCAGAGGTATTATTCGTCGCTTGAATAGGGGACCCATTCCAATTGAAGTTATGATAAGCGCGGATAAGGTTTTCCTGTAAAGCCGTAATTACGCTGATATCGCACACGCACTATTTCGCAGGACCTATGGCAGACTCATGAAATCGCGTCTATATGGATACTTGACATTATTTACTTTGCAACTTCAACAAGCATACGACGGGTGAACAGTGTAGTCGGTAACTATGTGATAGTAGGAGAGAGATGTGTCGCACATTGGTATTCGTTCTACCGAAGCGCTCAGAAGTGAGGGCATGCGTGCTCACGAACTTCGTCAGTGGCATAATTAATGACGATCTCTGAAAAGGAATAGAAGCGCATCAGTAAATATTACGTAAGAAGTCTATTATCGCTCGCTGGTGCAGTGTAAGGGCTTTTGACAAGACGGATATGTGTAAGCACAATTGTTACGATCGTGTAACGTGGTGACCTTGTTACATAATATTGTCCTTTGTAAGAAATGACAATGATGAATATTTCGCTGAATATTCGCTCAGCAATAACACCATCTACAGTGATATTGCTGCAGTGACTTGAGGTCTACTCATTGGTTGATATAGACCATCACATCTACCCACCAATCGCTGCTACGTCACGGCGCGCAATGCGTGGAGAGTAAACGTCACCATACATTACTGCATATTTATATATTTGAGTAAGGACTAATTAACGAGATAAGACCCAGGACTTAATTTATATCAAATGACAGTTTTACTTTTTCTGCTAGTAAGCATTGTCGTTTCGTTCTAACACCTCCCTGTGCGTGCGTGCGTGTACGCGAGGTAGCATGGCACCAGCCCCCACTGTTTTTAGGAAGGGTCAACTGCGTACTGAAGCCAGTACGTAGTCATCAGTGTTTCGTTATATTTCGATCTCGATCGTGGGGTATACTGGTGCGTGTAGAAAATTAGCAGGGACTTAAGGCGCAAGTTTGGCGAGCAACGGTCAATATGGCAGATATAGTCAAATGTACGACTGGACGGGTATTGCTATGCAGCAGGTTCATCTGGCATGTTGACTGAGTTTCATCAAAACTATTCAGACTGTAGAACCAATCAACGTGGGTGACTTTGAAGATGGTATGACATCGCCACTTGTGTGTATAAAAGTCGATGTATGCGTACGTATGATCCGTTTGCGAACTCGAACTTGTATCTTGCCCACTATGCAGTATATGCCTTTGTCGTGCGCTACCATCCTCTATTTCTGGTATGGCGACTTTATCCAGCGAATACGAACATCGACAGTGTTGTGGAGCTCGAAATACTTCGGTCACGCTCTCAGAAAGAGATGCTTACGACCGACAACCTTTTCTGCGGATGCGTAGGTGACTCCAATCGCACGCAACAGGGCTCCGTGACGAAGCTGTACAACAAGTAGAAATTGACGAGCAATGACGTTCAAGAAGAAGAGGTTTGGACGCGAGAAAACTAGACAGATACAAACGCTGTGATTGGCTTCATAGCAGCTGTCTGATTTGGTGGTCTGCATTGATGCAGTGGCCTTTTTTTCGAGTTGCCAAAATAGCGCACTTGTTCCAGTGTATACTGTCGATGGAGTAAGTGCGGAGTTTTTGCAGCTATTGCTTCAAAAAATCAAGAGAACGCATCTTACCGTGACGCATTTACTGGATCACCAGATGTAATCCATTCGGAAAATGACTACCACGATAGTTGCAGCAATAAGTTTGCGAAAGAAAAGAGCGGGCAAACATGCTCGACATGCTAGCTCACATTTCACTGCAGGAGGCATCTAGAAACAGCAAGTTGGACGAGGTGAAAGAAACGTGCACGATCAAGTTGGCATGAAATTGCTCTCGTTTAAGCGAAATGAAGAGAGTGGCTAGCCGAAACCACGTCTACTAGGCACGTGAATGTTTCATAACATTCCAAGCCAAAGCAATATCAGAGCTGCGGGAAGACCGACTTGGGACCGATGATGCCACATGTGCCGGAGCTGCCAGTACCAGCGCCGCGTTTGAGCCTCATGTAGCCCGCCTCGCCCCACTCGGTTCCCCACGAGTTTTTGATCTTGAAGTAGGACGACGAGCCACTACCTCCGTAGCCCACCGCCAACACCGCATGGTCAAGCTCCTTTGACGAGCAGGCAGACACAATGCCTCCCTTGTACTGCTTCCAAGAGCTGTTGCCCGCTGCGACACCGACGGCTACAGGGCGGCCGCTAATGGCTTGAACAAGACCAATCTCGCTCTCGGGAACTGCCACTACCTCGCGGATGGTCACGGATTGCATGTTGCAAGACGATGCTTGGCAGGAGTCGCGGTCCCCCGTGTCCCCAGATACATACGGGTAGTCTTGCTCTTTACAGACGCCTCCAGAGCGCTTGATGAAGGTCAAGGCGTCGCCGGGATACCCGCCTTGGCAAGCATACGACGTCTTGTCACAGTCTACCAGCTGTTGCTCGGAAAGAGACACCAGGGGCTCACCGGCGAGGCAAATGGCACTTTCTAGAGCCGCCACGGCGGCAAAGGCCCAACAAGAACCACACTGGCCCTGGTTCTTGACGTCAACGACACAGCCCGAAGTCGTCCAGTCTTTTTCAGTGGCGACAGAAATTGTTGAGTTCGAGAACACCCCGACGGCCGGCAAAGTCTCTGGGAGTGGATGCGAGCCACGCTGATACGACTCACCGATAAACTTGACGAACTCCTCTTCTGTCAAGAGCGTAAATGGCGTGTCGGTGGAGAAAACGGCCTCGGGGTTTGCTGCTTGAGCTTCTTCAATGAGTAGCTTCGTCAAGAAAAAGCGGCGTAGCTCCTCGTCTTCTGCTGCATCAACATTCCTCATCCTCGCAGCAGGAATGAAGCCGTGTTTGTGAGCAAATTGGCCAGCATCGCTCTCTTTCCATTCGGTCAATTCTGACTTGAGACTTGACCTTGTGTGGAGAAACTGGTCCATGCGATTTGTCGGGACGACCGGGACCGATGCGTTCGTAGCAACGAAGGCTGCGGCCGTGAGAAGAAGAATAGTTTTCATCAAGCTGAGATACAAAAAGGATGGGGAGTTGATGCGAGCGTGCAAAAGCGCAAATGAGTTTCTCGTTGCCGTTGCGATCTTCACTTGAGCATTCGCTGGATTTCTACAGGCTAGGTAGGCGATAAACGGGTTATCGCCGATGGTAACGCGTTCGACAAAAGCACAGGAGCCCCATGTATGTCAGTTGCTTCGTCACAGAGGAACTGAAGTTAAGCACAGGTTGCTATAGTAATCAGATTCTGACGCGACGCACCGCTTGCATGAACAGAGCACGGTCTGTGCTGTAAACCGAAAGTATCTGGATCCTTTTCCGTAGTAGTGAAAGGTAGTAGACCTACATTGTATTCATCACAGCTGAAGTCGTAGATATTAGATCCATCGATATACAAATCTGCATAATTACAGCGTCGCCGAGTGTTACATTCACTGCGATCAGTTGCACACCCCTAGCCTTTCACCAGCATCCTCAGCCGTGAGGCTAACATTTGATAGATCAAAGTTATCAGATCGGTAGCGTGACATCGTTTGCGAACTTCGGGCCTCGTGGCGTTCGATGTTGCTGCAATCGTGATACGTTGCCCGTATTTTCGTGTCACTTCTCATTCGGAATTGATGGAGTACGACCAAATGTGCGTATTCCTGATTACATTTTGTATTCTGACAGCATGATCCGGGAGTAGACGTCCAGCATGCTCGCCATAGGACGAAACTCGTCGTCGTTCTTGCAAACACCATCAGCATTTCTTTTTGGAGGGCTACCACCTCAGCTGCTCTAAATAAATTCAAAGCCATGTGCTACCAGATTCTACGGTATGTACCGCCAGTTGGAGTATCATTCGAGTACCAGACTGGCCCTTCTTCCCACAAACAACAGCTGCACGCACTTGTGTAGCACTCCAAGGTAGTTAGCAAGCTTGCGACAGTAAAAGATCTATGTCTCCGAGAAGCTGTACTGACGCAGTCTCGCAGCTCATTAGCTTGACGTATTTTCATCGCTACCTACATCGTTTCGAGGTGGTTTACAGTAACAGCGTACAAAGTGCAAATTTTGCTACTGTCGCCTTGTATATCATGTTTGTGTTCATGGATGTGGTAAGGTAGATTGCGTGAAATACATTGCAGCACGTAATTGTGTCATTGAATACCCTTCGTGTGCGACGCTGCAATTTCTTGCATCATGCGGAGTATGATTCAAACAAATGTGAGCTGCTGTGGAAGTTGTGCTTTCTCATTGATGTTAAAAGTCTCATGCAACGCGAGATGGTAATACTGACAAACCACTTCCACCGCTTGTGTGTCGTCGACATGCGTAAGTTCGTCCATCTTGTGACCTCATGCAATCAGTAAGGCTCGTCAATAAGTCTATTGACATGGGTCGTAGAAGATACAGGCGAAGAAATTGCTAATCTAATACAGTGGCTACACGTCTGAGCACAGGGAGATGTGAGTAGGAGATTGCTTGTGTCACCTCGAAATGTGCAAGAGGTTCATACAACAAGATTGAGTCAGTTCCACAGTAGAAACAACTGCACGAAAGAAACATGTTCAAATTACAGAATCAGCATTACCTCACCCTCACCTTTCGAAGTCTTGGATTGTTCAGCTAAACGTGGTGAAATCGGTAGATGAATGCATTGTCAGTTAAGCCCTCTGGCACCAAATTTTTTTCTCTCCTGTCAGATACGTCAAACTCATACAAAAACGATACATACCACAAAATCAGCTCAGCCGTAGCAACTCACCTCTTCAAGAATTGAGCCTGATCTCTTTTTCAGTTACAGCCGAAGCTTTCGTCAACCCGAGCGACCTGTTGCTGTACTCTCCAGCTCGGGCATACATATCTCGGGAATCTTGCTAGCCACAAGTGTATAGCGCTACCTGTTGCGTGGCTTTGCTGTGCCACGCCATAGACGCATACGCATCATCATTGACATTATAAAAGGGTCACCCTTGTCCTGATCTTCTGCGGTGCGTGCATAAAGATATCACTGGCGACGCATGGTGCTTGACTTGTGCATTGGGAGGGACCAGTAATGCAGCATAAGACTGGAAAATCTCCCACTTCCTTTGTTGTAACGATTTTAAACCTGGCCAACGTGAACCGAAGCTTTCTCACGTCTGAGTTGGGAAGATGCAAGTCGAGTATCTGCGTGGTCCAACTTTCGGGAAAGTATGAAATACCAGAATTATGGATGATTAAGGTCGCAAGATGGCAACTTCGTGAGCTCCTAAAAAGCAATCTAAATCTGCCTGCTATACGCATGTGCACGAATCTATATGTGAGTAGTCTAGACAAGGCATTCTATCATCGACGTTTTTATCTTTCCATTTGGACTGCACTGCAGAAGATATATCCTGGTAACATAATGTTTAGTGCTAGACGACCGCATAAATAGGTATTCAAACTAACTCAACTTTTGCTACAGTATGTCTTACAAGAAATCGTTTCACATCAAACAATAGTTGCAGGAACAAATGTCAATGCTGCCTACGCTTGAACGTAGTGTTAGAAATTGCAAGTAGGTATCAGCACATAGCATTATATCTATATATGCACAACAATTTATACGCGGGATGCGTAGGCAATAAAATGGGTGACATTATGAGAGTTCTACTCTTAGTAGCCGAGCGTTATCAATTGCGTGCGTCTTGTTCACAACCGACATAATAAATCGATGAGTTGGCTGATAGGTTATTGTGAGCAGCATAGATTCGAAATTAACGGTACTGTACTCAGATGTGTATTGTGAATAGAACGTGACAAGTTTTATGCAATCCTTTTTCTCGCCTCAAACTTGGCAATAAGGTCTTATATAATTGACGACGAGTCGGAACTTGTCGTACCTGGTCCATATTATACCAAAAGTATAATGACCCTATTCTGCTTAGTTGGAACGACAAACGCGTCAATTCCAGTCGACTCTTCATCAACGTATTTTCTTAGCCTAATTATTTTTAGGATGACAAGGACTGCTTCGATGAGTTCTTATATCGAGCTGAAGATAGTTGCCGTACAGCATCATTTTTATAGCATTTCTTTCCATGCTTTTTTACTTTCTTATCATGTGCAGATTGCAGAGGATAGAGTGGACATCGAAAAATAAACACAACCAATGTGTCGTGTCAATCATGATCATATACTCATGCAAATAGATTTGGTTTGATAGGAAACATTGACCAAAACAGTCATGCCAAGGTCCGATATGCTTGTTTAATGCACTTAATACTGATGCTTCAAATCGTGAAGTCTTCCCGACACGACGACATTTACGTAAGCACTTATCTTGACTGTAAATACGTTATATCGTGAAAACATTTGTCGTGAATGCGATAGACACTTCCACGTACGGCTTTCAAAGTATCATTTGTGCATGATAGATAGTCTTCTATAAAATATTGTTTTGTTTTTCCAAAAATAGTAACCAATTCTTTACTTTCAAATCAACCCGCCCCAGTATTACATGTTTTTAGTTTTTTATGTCTAATCGAATCAATCATCTCATTTTCTGTCTTGTTACTCACTTGAAGTAGTAATTTTGCCTCTAGATATCCAAAGTGAGTAAATCTTTGCCTCGTAAAATCTGCCTACATGACCTCATTGTAATGCACACAGTGGTCACAGCAGGAGCTACAACTGATGACAACCCCTCTTCTTGGCGACATTATCTGAGAAGTTGTGCACGCCAAGGCTAATGTACTGCGCAAGAGGTCTTCAAGAAAATACAAATCGATTGAAAGAGGCATCAGCCGGTATAGTGTAGCAACACGGTGGCCGCTAATCGATTTGCATCTTTCAAACCGGTACTACTCCATAATTAAGATCGATTTCAATACGTACTAGAGGACTTGTGCTCCGTATAGACGACTGCAAAATAATTTTTATAAGCAATCCCGTCACATGAAATTGATGTTTCGATATATATATTTGCAGATATAATTGTAGCGGATGAAAACCTATCATGTACCTTCGCTTGTAACCATTAATAATTTTTGCTGCTTGATAAATTCCATCACATCTAATTATAGGCGTTTTGTAATGATGGACGTGCGCATTAGGTCGTACGTACAAAGTCACACATATGAATGTCTTTAAATATGTTATTAATGGTTTTACGATATGAACCTATACGATTATTTCAGCTGCGTATATGTATTTGAAACTAACGACTGAGGCATTCGTCTATTGCCTTATTCTCTGTACGATTATGCGTGAACGTTTTTATAGCTCTGAAAATATAAACTGATTAAGGACATCTCTATTTTTCTCTAGCAGTAGATTTGTGTTTTCTTGTTACATTTGATAGCACTACGTCTTCTATCTAAATACCACGCACCCACCCTGGATGGGTGCCGTCTTATCTTCATAAGTAAGGGATTTGTACGGTTTGATTATCAGTGAATAATAGGTTGTCGAGAAGATGACTTTGGTCACAGATGGGACTGGCATCCGTGCCATGCTGTTCAACTAGGAAAGGAAGGACAACGATCCATGATCGCTAAGTCCATACGGGATGATCATGGAACCACCCAGCGAAGATCACCTTGCTCGACCAGAATGTTTTCTACATGAGAGCATTGAGGGAATAAACGGATCTGCAGTATGTGCTGTTGAGGCAAGAGTGACCTATCGTTGCTGAAGGAGGAATGACGCCTGTGCGTCGACGCAAACGTTCAAAGATTGACATTGACTAGTTAAATGTAGCGGAAGGATACTATACTATACACGATTCGTAGGACCCAGCGACGCCATCGAAGCTCGTCGTATAGAAGGGCACGCAATGAAGATTGAGTCTGATATGTACGAATTTGGTTGACTTTATTAGTCTCCTCGAACCAATGGGTACCTACTCATTACCACCATGTATTTAAACAGGAAACGTTCAAGATGCGGCTCAGATAAAGGTTAATCATCAGCTTGCTAA